TTTTTTTCTGTCTCCTAAAACAACAGAGAAAAAGCAAAGTAATCGAGAATAGAGCAAACTCTTAGAAGCTGTTGAGTCAGAGCAGAAAGGAGGTAAAGTGAGAAAAATTAAATTCACACATTCATACATGCAACACAGCGGCCACTTAGAGACACTTAACACAAAGTGTAAGCCATTTCCCCCATGCACACACACACACAAACACACACACACACACACACACACACACACACACACACACACACACACAGAGGCAGTGAAAGGTTAAAAACAGGGGTTCCACGTTGAAATCCAGACACGTTCCTCAGTCAAGTGGATGTTTAAGTGATCCGCTCTCACATATGCATGCACAGATGCCAATGCACACTTATGTACATATATATGAATATTTCACATCCATTAGAAGCTGGAGAGCTGCTGCTGCCGATGTGAGCTCAGTGAGAGGCGTAAGGGCGATGAACTGCACAGCAAGGTCGTCTAAACGCTCAGCTGTCTCTCACCTGATGTTTTGTTAATACGGCTGTTAAAAAAAAAAGAAAAAGTAATGCAACTGCCAAGAAAAAAGAAAAACAACCAAACATGGATGCAAAAGAACAAGTTTTTATAACGACGGATATACAAGGTGCGATCAAATGGTTCTGAAACCAATAAAAAGCTAATTTAATTCAATTCAGTTCAGTTTTATGTAGCACCAATTCACAGCATGTATCATCTCATAGCACTTCACATAGTAAGGTAAAGACCTGTCAGATTTTAAACAAAGAACAGAGAACCCAACAACCTAAAGCTGCCTTTTGATTCCCTACTATGAGCAAACAGTTCACAATGGTGGGCAGGGAACCAAAGAAAACCCTTAAAGGCAAAAAAAAAAACCTCCTACAGAACCAGGCACAGGGAAGGCAGCCGTCCACCTCGACCGGATAGGGTGAGAGTGGAGATGAGCTCATTGGAAGTAGTCCTCTCATGCAGCAATACACTGCTCCAAGTGCTCCTGCTACACTTGTAACGCTCCCTGGAAGTCTCATTCACCAGTGCGACACCCGCCGGATCTCCCATCAGATTTACACCCTTTGATTTGTAGGTTGTGGAGAGAAAGAACTGGGCTGAAATATTTGCGTATAATCAACGTGAATGGGCGCACATGCAGTCGAGTCTAAATTTATTTATGCCAAATGTTCCCCTTCAGATTCCTCAGGACGTTACAGTAGAACCGTGCCGCACAACCTTAGAAATGTGGAAGAAAACAACAAGCACGTGACACCTAGTTTGCAGGAACAGATGCAGAACTATTTGATCGTCGCTGTATTATAAAGAAGCATTCAAATGAAGAAATACAATTCTAACCAACATGTCCACTTTATATGTGCTCAGAAATTCAATAACACGTCAATTTCAAAGTGTGTATTTGTTAATGTGGAAAATACAAAAACAGTGTCGTGTAATTGTTGTATGTAATTATTATTCCAGCAGATATGGCTCGAAAGCAAAACATTTAAAAACAATCCATGTCCAAAGCCAAGGGCTTCACANTTAGATACAAAAATGATATTATAATTACATGGATCTGTCTAGTTGATGGAGACATTAATATTTACTTTATATCACATGTATGTAACGGCTTCAAAAAAAACACTCTTTAGATTCTTTAGAGAATGAAAACCTGAAAAAATAACTGCACAATTGCACATTATGAGCTTCACAATGGACTTACATCCATCACACAAGTGTTTAGTCAATGCAAACAGGCCACACACACTTCTGGGGAAAGGAAGCAGATAATTTGGACCAACTACAGAAGAATTACATCCGTGCAATTCAACAAAAAGTACCAGTAACGGAAATACAAGTAAACTTCTCTCCCTCTCTGTCTCCCTCTGTCAGGTTGTTCAGTCTGAACCAGAGCTCAGGTCAGCTCAGTATCAGGGAGGGAACTCCTCCCGGCTCGTACCGCCTGAGGGTGCGCGTGTCAGACCACAGCTGGCCCGACGTCACCTCCAGCGCCCAGGTGGATGTCACAGAGCTGCGGCAGGAAGCCTTGCAGAACGCTGCCTCCATCCGCCTGACCAGTGAGTCCCACGCTGATGATGATGATGATGTCAAAGTATCATAATACACTTTCCTTAACCTAAACCTGGAACTACTGTCACTATTAGAAACTTGTGAAATTGCTTGAGAATATCTCAACGCACAAGACGCACATTTGCACGCTCCCTGTGATTGCCATGGTAACTGTAAGCGATGGGGCACGGTGTTGCGTGTCTCAGAATGCTGCAGGGTCCCAGTTTCAGGGTTGTCAACTCCCCCAGGCTCCATCATCAGCAACAGGCAGAGAGACGTTATTGGAAACAACTCCCTGCTCTTCTTCCCTCGTCTTGTCTTCCCTTGTAATTATTTTCTGCCCCGTCTTTGTACGACTTTGTTTTCTTGTTTCCTTTTAGCTGTTTTCTCATCTTCATTATGTCCTTATCTGTCAAACACCCACAACAGCACAAAGCGAGTAAATAAATCTGTTCACCTTCCTCCTCTTCTTCCTCCAGATCTGACAGTGGAGGAGTTCTTCAGCGGCGTGAGTGGAGGTGAGGGGAGCCGATTTTCCCGTCTGGGCCGGACGCTGGCCGAACTCCTTCAGACTTTGCCAGAAAACGTCCAGATCTTCTCCGTGGGTGCCGCTGGACAGCCGGGCGAGAAGGCGCTCAACGTTTGGTTCGCCGCCCACGGTTCGCCGTACTACAAGGCGGAGAAGCTGCACGGCTA